GGGGGAATCTGCTACAAGGGATTGCTATGCTAGGCATACTCCCTTGCTATATCACTACTAAGCTCTTGTAAGAGCTTGTACCTGGAGGAGTCTTGCTCTCTGGAGGAGTCTACAGTGGTTATGGTGTCGGCTGGAGTGCTTGGAGCCCTCAGGAAGCACTAGGAGCATCCTTCAACGGAGGTACCCAGTCGGGGTGCCAGGTGATCCGTTACACTGATGCATGGAGAAAAGGCCTTCACAAGCCTCTGCTATTGTGTACATAGTTTATACTAAGTGACCCATAGGTTGAGGAGGTGGTGACCGTGACGGTGTAGGTGGAAGAGGCAGTGGAGGAGGAGGAGGTAGCCAACACAGTTTGTTTGTTTTTTGTTTTTAATTGGGGTAGCCCCCAAAATATTGGGACATATAAAAAAAGAAATATTTGCGGCCTTCGGTGCATTTCTTGCAGTCCTGATGCACGGAGAAAAGGCCTTCACAAGCCTCTGCTATTGTGTACATAGTTTATACTAAGTGACCCATAGGTTGAGGAGGCGGTGACCATGGCGGTGTAGGTGGAAGCGGCGGTGGAGTAGGAGGAGGTAGCCAACACTGTGTGTATATATATATATATATATATATATATATATATATTTATTTATTTATTTTTTTATTTTTTTTATTGCGGTAGCCCCCAAAATATTGGGACATAAAAAAAAAACTCTGTTCCGCAGAGCGACTGACCCGTGCGTGCTGCAGCTGAAACTCCACTATCGCCTGCTGCTGCTCGCACAGTCTCATGAGGAGGTGAGCGGGAAGGCCGAAGTTACGCTGCAGCACAGATGGGCGAGCAACAGCAGGGTGAGAACACCGAAAGCGCGTACAGCCGCTACAGTGAATGTCACATCCTGTTCCAAGTTGCGGATCAGTCTGGTGATGGCTTCTGGTATCCAGTACTCTTTTTTTTTTTTTTACTGAAGCTGCATCAGGGTCCTGGTATGTGGCCGCACAAACACTGGTGCTCAACACCAGGGGGCGTGCGGTTACTCTGCACCAGACCCTACAAATCCATTCCACACTATGACTCCTGACTTCAACATCAGGCATACTGGGTCCCGGTCACCGGACTTCGAAACTGCGATTAGCTCATTAAATCTGTTATGGTTCCTTTTATCGCTCCATCTGTTACTTGGATAACTTTGGGAATTCTAAAGATAATACATGCCGACGAGCGCTAGGGGACGGCCGCTCCGCTTTTGCACCCTGCTCCCTCTTATGCTGTGCTAGTGCTTCTGTGCAACCAGCGCCTCTTCCTCCAAACTGTGCACATCACTCGCATGACCTTGATTCCATGTGGGGTCAAGGACCTCATCATCCTCCACATCATCTTCTATCCACTCCTCAACCCTGCCCTCCTTGCCTGTCTGCACACTACAGAAAGCCACTGCAGTTGGCACCTGTGTTTTTCCAGCATGTAAAGTCTGCAAAGGACAAATGGAAATTGTTTTAGAATTGTATCCAGGCAACAATTTTATCTTTAAACTGACCTCTCAGTTTGACTTGTGAGGGTATTGCCCCTGAATTACAATATTGTTATTTTGGTATTTGACTGTCAGATATGAAGTGCAGGCTGTATATGTACTATTTAGCACCCAGAAGAATTTGAATTGGTCAAACTGCGCTGTAACCACAGTATTTGGTTCTATTTGACTGTCAGATATGAAGTGCACACCCCACATTTACTTTTTATCACCCAAAACAATTTGAATTGTTCAAAGTGCGCTGTAAGCGGTTCTATTTGACTCTAAGATGTACTATTTAGCAGCCAAATTTGAATGTTTAACCCCTTAAGGATCAAACTTCCGGAATAAAAGGGAATCATGACATGTCACACATGTCATGTGTCCTTAAGGGGTTAAAACTGCTATGTTACAGCACTATTTGACAGTTCTATTTGACTCTCAGATATGAGGAGTACGCCCCAAATGTACTTCTTAGGAGCAAAAAAATAGAAATTTGTCAAAGTGCGCTGTAAAAACCGTATTTGACGCTTCTATTTGACTCTCAGATATGAAGTTAAGGTCCCAAATTTACGATTTCGCAGATTAGCACCCAGAAAATAAGAATGTTTACAATTGCGCTGTAACCGCACTATTTGACTCTCAGATATGAAGAGCACGCCCCAAATTTACTGTTTAGCACCAAAACAATTAGAATTTTTACAACTGCGCTGTAACCGCAGTATTTGACGCTTCTATTTGACTCTCAGATATGAAGTGCACACCCCTAATGTACTTTTTAGCACCCAAAAAAATTGACTTTTTAAAACTCTGATGTAACCGCAGTATTTGACATTTCTATTTGACTCTCAGATATGAAGTGCACCCCACTAATGTACTAGTTTGCAGAATTATTTTCTAATCTGTCCCTGAAAGCGGCAGCATCCTCTCCCTACACTAATAAGAGCTCATGTGCGTGCGACGCTACGCAACTCCAGCTTATATATAGAGCCTGGTTCACATGCTGCACTGGCCAATCACAGCCATGCCATTAGTAGGCATGGCTGTGATGGCTTCTAAGGGCACACGAGTCAAACGCTTGTTGATTGGCTGCCCTGCAGCCTTTGAAAACGCGCCATTAAATCGCCTCCCACCCTTCTTCTTACCTTTTGGTGAAGGAGGGGGACACTGCCAGTCTTGGTCCAGTTGTGAGTTATCTATAGCCTGCAGCTCCTCTGGCTGCAGGCTGTCTTTTCTCCTCCCGTTAGCAGAATTTCCTCTGGAGATGACACTGGGGGGACCCTGTGAATCATATATGAATCATTTCCTACCACCCCTTCTAAGTACCAAGCTAACCCCACACTCAACACACGTCACATTTGGGGAGTGGTGCTAGATTTCAATGTAGGTTTTATTTCATGGTCTGACAAAGCACCAGTACAGTGATTATTATTATGTTTTTGTATCAATCCTTCTTTTTTTTTTTTTTATGTGCAGTGATACAAACACAAGTAGATGATGACATGATATAAACATGTACAATGTGGGGGGAAACATGAAACTGCATGTCATGATAAGCTGCACATTTTGAGGCATGTGGTACAGAGTGCAAGAAGTGGAAGCTCCCAGATTGGAGGTAAGTATCAAGTGCAGTAGAGGTGGGGACTGGGATAACCCCCACTGGTCAGAAGGGTACGGGGCCCATTCACAAATCAGCCTGCAGGGTCCCACCGAGGAGTCCAGCTTCAATTCCCAGCCGGTCCCATGCTAGGCCGCAGATTGGGTTGTCGGTGCACCGAAGATACAGGTTTCAGATTGAGCCAACAAAGTGCACAATGGCACGCGGATACCTTCAGGCTCCAGCTCAGCATGTATCATCAGTCGGGGTATTACTTTTGTCAGAGGTATATCGAGTTATTTGCAGAGCTCATGCCTGGTGCGTCTGCTCAACATGGCGGTCAGGCCCCTCCCCAATCTTTCTTAAATTTTAACATATAAATTGTTACATTCAGTTTGTTGTTTATATATGATATAAACCAAAGTATAAATGAAAGTGAAGCAGTAATGAAAAGATGTGTGTCCAAGTGGCAAAAACAATGTTTAGGTGAGATACCCAAAAAGAGCTAAAGCAATTTGGAATAAACGAGTACTGTGATTATACTTATTAACCAGTAGATGTTGCCAAAATTAAACTCCCATTACATGTATGGGGACAAAAACATAAAAACAAATGATAGTGTACACAAATTGAATATGTAACTCCACAAATGTATATATTACAGCTCAGTAAAAATATATTTGATATGTCAACATGGGTATTTATTTTAAAAAGTTCAATAGTTAATCTTTATAAAGTGCAAATCAATGTTATTACCATTCAGTGAAATAAACCAAAACAAGTGAACTAAAACAAAAGAACATACTGTCTCTTACAAGATAGTGTTGTGAGTAGATACAACATGAACCGTTACTCACTGGTAAGCTTGATAAGTAAGGTGCATCCAGTTAGGGGTTCCGGCGGGCGGCTCGAAATTGCTGTTGTGTTTGTATTGCGGTCAATCAATTCCACCATTTTTGGACAGTTCTCCGCTTATAGAACGAGCTCCAGAAACTCTGCCCCCCACGTATGACGTCAACCAGTTTCGCTGGGAGATGCTGGCCTCCTCAAGACGTGATGCCTCTGTCTCCATCTTGGAGAAGGGTATTTGATGGCACAGTCAATCCTATCTAGTTGTTCTATTGGTGTGCCCGAAAGTGTCTCATTTACATATTCATTAGTGATTTCTTTGCAGTGAATCCTTAATCACAAATCATTTGTGTAACGGCACCCCAGGGCATAAAAGGGTTTAGTAGATCTTCCCTTCCAGAGACACAGGCACAGCTACTGCAGAACACCAAACTCCCGAACAGGATACCAAGTAGCTCTCCAAATTCCCAAACTGGAACCTCACAAATAGCTGCTAGCAGCTGAACAGGAAAAGCACCCAAGCAGCTTACACTCCTGGCAATCAGTCTCTAACAGCATACAGTAAATCCTCCCCAAGAACGAGACAAAGCTCTGTGTTGAGGGTCAAGCAGTGAACAGCCAGAGCTGTGGGTTTATTGTGCTTATATACACATTCTTACACATTAGTACCACCCACAGGGTTTTGGAACACAACCAATAAACACATACAATACACTCAGACACTCCCACACAAATTCCTTCCCTCTGCATGTGATTCAATTACCTTACACAATGGGTAATGTAATTTAGCACAAGCAGAGAAATACAATTTTTCCACATTATTTTTCATAACTTGAAAAGTATGCATCACATTTTCAGAATCAGCATACTCCAAATACAAACATACGTAAAAATCATACAAATTGGTCCAGTGGTTCAAAAGATAGATCGTAGTCCTTTGTGACCACAGTAAGCATGGATTTTCTGCCCAAAACCAGTTCCACAGAGTCTTCTATCCTGGAGATAATTAGAAGTAATCCAATTATCTCCAAAGACAGAAGAAAAACTGCATTGAACACATGGCAGCAAAAAGACAGTAAAATACAATAAAATACACAAGGTTACATTTATGACATAAAATACAGACATGCAACATATGCCCAGATAGCTTAGGTCTGAGCGCACATTATTACTGAATGGCGCTCAGGACACACACATACAGTTCAATTGCCATGGAGCCAAAATCTTTCCCATAGTCTTTCATTATACGAATGGGCTCCATGGCATAGTTATCTGGGGTATCACTGCTCAAACAGGGCAAGCACCAAATGACCCGGCTTTTTGTCTTTGCAGGGGAAAATCAAGCCTTTTAACATGGGGCCATAATCCAAAGGCAACAGGCGAGCAACCAGGCTTCTCCAATGCAATGTGGAGAGATTGCTCTCGTCACAATTTGTAAGAACAGTCTTTGCTTTAAAAGTTTGTTCAAAAGTCAATCTTGATATAATATAATGCATACAACATATTTTCATAAAATCAAGTAAATCAAATAAGTTATAAAACATGTCCAGTCTACAATCAGAGTTTGCAGTCGAAAATAGGCATAAGGCTATTCTAACTATAAGATAAGGCCAGGGACTAATGAAAGTATTTAGAAAATTGGAGAGACTAGATGGGCCGACTGGTTCTTATCTGCCGTCACATTCTATGTTTCTAGGTGCAGTAGAAATGTTTGAGGCATTAACTCATAATTTTGATTTAATATAATCATAAGTAATTCCGATATCTTGTTTTTAATTTGAACAAGGTTGACACAATCCTACCATATATAAATTAATGTACCATCCCTTTGGTGGCATCTCCAACATCATTTTGCTGTACTATGATCGAATCTTGCGACTCGTATAAGAGTCATATACCACCTATGGGTACGTGTATACTATTGTTCTTGAAGGTTTAAACAATGTGTTGCTTTCCCAGTAGAATACCATGCTTCAAACCATATTAAAAGAGAAACTGGATTCTTAAGATCTTGTTCCCAATTATTCATAGATTATTCATTCATATATTTAGATTGATTATCTTTTTTAAAATGAGTTAAACAATCTGAGATTTTAGAAATATGATTTTGAAGGGTATGCGATTCAACAAATCTATCCCATTTATCATTTTAATTGAAAGATATGGATATTAGAAAATGTTTGTTTCTAAGATAACTAAATATGTTGCTTGCCAGTAAGTTAGAATCATTAAATAGATCACTAAAAGATACAATTTGATTATAATTTAGTAAATTTGTTTCCCAAAAACACAGGAAGGGATTATGACCCTTACATTTATATTGTTCTATATCAAACCTTGGAAGATCTTTATTTGATTCATTGTCCCAGGCAATCATATTGATCATTAAGCCTGAGCTGAAGGCTAGAGTTCACTCTCACCACTCTGTTGTGGACAGAATATTAAGTTTAGTAAAATGCCTATTTACTCTGTGCATCTGTGTTCATTAACTGCTCAAACTGACTGCTAGAGTAACTGCTTCCCCTCTAACTCCCTCCCTTCCTGCTCCCCCCCCCCCATCGAGTAACCACCCAATTAACAAGATGGTGCTGTAATGTGGAGGAGAACTGCATGATGACAGTGACATCACACCCTGTAGGCTGTGCATTAGATGAACCACTTAACACCTAACCAATTGTTGATGTATTTTCTCTGTTATCTATAATTATGCATATGATGTATTTCTTCTTGAATTAAACATTTCTCAATTTTTACATTAACCTGAAACTTGTCTGGTGTGAATTACTTTTGGGAGCATGCACACATTTAATTCAATTTGGACAGGGAAATATATACAAAATTAGCAAACACTTGATTTGATCCAATTTGGCACCCCAGGTGGGACACCGCGGCTCTGTTTGAACGGACAGCTGGAACCAGGACCAGAGAGCAGACCTACAGTGACAGGACAGAGCCTGATCAACTCTGCATATATGGTAATGAACACGTTAGCACCTTACCTATATCTCCTGTCCCTGTATAGGCCTGGCTCCGTGGTCAACGCTGGCTGCCTGAAGGCATCAAAGACAGGTAAATTCTTGCCCAGTGTCTATTTATAATAACGTGTTGATTGTCTATCTGCCTCCTGAGTGTGAGTCCTGGGTGTGAAAGTGTTTGCTTGGGGATTTAAGATATGTTTATTGCATTGTATAGTTATATTTTATTAACTTAATTACCTAGTTTATTGATTGTCTTATAGTTCGGGGGGAACTGGTTAATTGCTTACTTTGTAGTTCAGAGGGAACTGGTTAATTGCTTGCTTTGTTTTTCGGACGGAACAGGTTAATTGCTTTATTGTTCGGAGGGAAAAGGTTGATATTATTTACTATATAGTTCGGAAAGGAACAGAGACTGCTGATTCAATTATTGTTATGCTTGATACTTTATTATTCTTTGTTGTATTATGGTGGTTGCTTAGTTGGGGGTTGTATTGTGTGTGGTGTGGTTTATCTTTGTATCTTAAGGGGTTTGTGTTTTGTTTGCATTTATTTTAAGGAGTTTGTGATTTAATTACATCTGTATATTGTGCCTTCACCTCTATATGTTACTTTGTTTACAGTACATGTTAAGTGTAACGTACAAGTCTATGTCTTGTCACTCTCCTCTTCATCTCCATCTTCTTTCCTAACGAGCAGTTCTTAGGCACTCACATAGTTAAACTCCATGCCTGCAGCTTTGTTTGTCCCTCTCCCTTCTCACCCTGTGTGCTTCCCCCCTCCCTCCGGCTCTTTTTGTCTTTCTCTTGTGACGTATTGGTTGAGGGGGGAGGAATGGGTAATATGCTTGCAGCAGAGGGCTGTCAAGCCTGTGTACAGTAAGGAATGTGAGGATGAAAAATTGAATTATTGCTGGACAATAACCCGGTTAGAAACTTCTGTGTAATATTGTGTATATGGTTAAACAAGATGATTGTACTATGTTAGGTATAGAGGCTGACAGGAAATTACAGAGTAATAAGTTGTAAAAAGGCGAATGGATGTTGAATAGTAGGAGAAGTTGGTTGAATTTTGTGAGACAATAACATGTTTATTTGAATTGCATATTGGTGAATGTGGAGCTTGTATGATTCTTGGGAGCATTGTAAGTAATAATGGGGCATATGGAATTTTGTTGATATGGGTTTTACAAGTTCAAGTGTAAAAAAGATTTTATTATGGGCTGTTAAATGCATAATGTTCTCAACTGTCTTATTTAATTTGCCAGGTTTATTTTCCAGATGTGTATACTTACGTGTAGTTAAGAAACTGATAATGTTGAGTTACAGAATTTAATTTGGATTTTTAGTTTGATAATTTATTTACAGTTTGGTATTTCATTTTGCAAAGGATAATGCTTATTTAACTCATTTTATCAGCTATGGTATATGTAATGTTGAAAGTACGTTCCAGCCACCACCCTAAAATGGCGCTTGGCACGAAGGGAAGGAGGTTGGCCCAGCCCCCGTGATCTCCACCCAATTACCACTATCTACAGTCATGCCTACTCCTAATGTATACCCTCCCGTCACTTCCGCCCTTACTATGCCCTCACCTCCTGTCTCTTCCTTTCCCACACAAGTCATGGCCATCATGGCCCCCATCCTATTTGGGGGCATGCAGCTTTCCTTAAACGCTACATATTATGGACAGAAAAATGCATGGACAGAAAAATTATAATTACTAAAGCAATTATGCTATTTTTTTTCCCTGTATCAGAAATGTGTCAGTGACAATATGTAATATAATACAGTTACTATAATTAATGGTCCAAAAAAAAAAAAAAACACATAATGTGTTAATTACAAAGGTGGATAGACTTTGTAAATATCTGAAAATATAATTGAAAGATTTTGCTAAAATGCCATATGCAGCTGCGGTCTGGCCTACAAACAATATCTGTTAGACATAAGTATAAGAGCATACCAGTTGATTATCCAGATAATTGATTAATGCCTGTGTCTTGCAACAAAAGGAAATAGCTAAACAATGCAGGTTCCTTTACATCTATGGGACATTTACTTTACTTTTTACAGAGTATCTGATTATCTGATTTTAACAATGTATCTTTACATAACTGAATCATGATAGTTAAAGATCATATGTTTACAGTAACAACCTTAATGATGAATAATGTTTTAACATTAGAAGAAAATGTAAAATGTTTTTTTTAACACAGAAACTACTGTTTTTTCATTTAAGTTGCAGGGTGGTTTAATTAATATAATCTAATTAATATAAGTGAAGTACTTTAACAGTTAAAGTTTAACTGAAAGACAAGCAGAAACTTTACTTCACTTACCACAAACCTTTATTTATAATGATAATCATGTTCAGACTGCCAGAGCTAAGGTCAGTCAATGGAAGGTAAAAGAATATTATGGATTTACCCTTCAAGGTGTTATACATGATACATTTGAAAAGGTATAATTAGATCACCTATTGCAAACAGGTGAAAAGATCCAACATCAACACCACTATATTAATATTTAATACAATACTTGTTGTTAAGACACCCCTGGTGTCTTTAAACGAAACCGCCGTTTAGTCAGCCTTCCCCTTCTGCAATATCAATAATCTCCGTTCGCATAAACTGCAGTGTACGAACCAAACTCAGGGGAAGCGGCAATCTCCCGACCGGGATCCGTGAACGGCTGCAAAATCCCGAACGGAAATCCACGAACTGCTGCTAGCCGCCGAACAACAACATCCACCAAGCGGCTTTCGGTTCCATCCAGCAGTCTCTAAACGTGAAGAAGAAATCCCCCCAATAACGAGACAGAAGCTCCGCATTGAGGGTCAAACAGGATCTGGCTTTACTGTGGGCTACCTGCCTGTATTTATGCAGGTCTCCCACTTGGTGGACACTCCCCTAGGGGACCAAATGGGAGACTGTAATGACAGATAGACATGGGGACATTTCCGACATACAGTCACAGTTTTTACCCACATTGCACTATGGTTTCCTCCCCTCTGCCCTGGAGATAATTAAGAAGTAACTCAATTATTTCCAGGACAAAGCCAGTCGCCATCTTAAATATAAAACCAGAAAATACATAAAAATTCATAACTTTACAATAACCGAACATTTCCCATTCGTATCACATATCCCCAAATAGCCTGGATCTGAGTGCATATTATTAGCGAATAGCGCTCAGATCCCACACAAATCGCCATGGAGTCAAAGTTCTTACAGTCTTTCGGTATAAGATTGACTCCATGGGAAGGCTATGTGGGTTAAGTCCTTTCGTGTGTTGTAAACCTCCCGAACGGCCAGTGTT